ATACTATATATATATATATATATATATATATATATATATATATATATATATATATATATATATATATTGTCAATATATATTGGATTTTGTTTGCACTTCCGGATCGATTTCAAAGATTTTGTAATATCCGTTGAGATTGTCTTTCTTCTTAAAATAAAATTTTGTTTTACGTGTCATCAAAAGTAAATTGCCCGAAGGGATAGAAACCTCAAAGGGTTTGGGATTCGGAGAAGCATGATTCTATATGCACACGGAGGGCTAAAATGCCTTAATACGTGAATTTGCACGCCAGGGGGTATATTTTGAGTAACCAGTCACGATGCGCGAATATTTGGACAGCACGCGCTCTGAATGTAAGCCCCACGTGCAGCTTTATATGCGCTGGGGCATTTGTGATCGTACGAGATCATCTTGTGTACAATCACTTGTGAAAAGGGATTCGTGCTCCTTGGTGTGCTACTTGGCGTCTAACTGAAACATGAGAGACGAGAGACATGGCAAAGGACGTCGCAGTTGGAAGATCGAATTGAAAATTGCAATCAAGTCTCAGCGCCGAGACAAATCGTTCAATCACGATCTATTATTAGTTGGCTGAATCGAAGTTGCAATCAATCGGAACGTTGCTGTAAACAGCCAGTCTTAATTTGCATTAACGATACCGTTTCACCAGGCGAAATGTTTTATGTTGAAAAAAAAATGCGTGCGCGCACGGAGAAAACTGGTTTTGCTGATAAATCTAAAAATTTCGCCAGATACAGATACAGACTTGAAAATAATTTTGTTGTATCATCAGGACGTTTAACAATGATAATAATACTGCAAAAATGTTTAATCTTCCAACAACCAATTTAAACGTTCATACCTAATAATTTTGAAAATCTCTAACAAAATTGTTTTCTGATCTGCCGAAATTTTTAGATTTGCCAGCAAACAAACTGTTCTCTCCGTGCAGAAAATTCGTCTGTCGTTGACGCGTTATCGCAGTTGCAAATATCGGTATCGTATCCAGGAGGGCACGATAAACCTACACACGCGCATCACCGGGCATCACGAAATGTATGTATAATTCCCGTCCGCGTGTCGTCGTTCCCTTTCCGCGTTGCATTCAAACGCGGGGCGTTCTCATTGATGACTACGCCCAGCGTTAATTGTGCATTTCGCGCGTTTAAACGCGGCTGTATCCGAACCGTACGCAAACACGTTCAGTGTCGCGCGCGACACGATAATTGCTAATGCCGCGGCGATAAAGGAATCAACGTACGGCCGTATTCGTCGGAGCGGCCAATTATGCAATAAACCGAAACCGCGAAATGCCGCCGTTCGCTCGTCGGCGGTGCGCAAATTGCGAATTGCGTTCCCGCCACCGCGTACATGCGGTTTAGCCGCACGCGATCGCCCAGAGCGAAGCGAGAGGGACGAACGACACCTGTTCGTGCGCATCATCTCGTCTCCCTTCCTCTCTCTCTCTCTCTCTCCCTCCCTTCCCCTCTC